TTTTATGATTAATTAATTGCGTAAAAACGTAAAAACCACATGGTTAACAAGAAAGACTGTGAAAACAATAGAAAGATTTCATCACAATTATTAAATTGTCATTTTCAATATATTATAGTTACTTTTTTCTTTTAGTTTAATTTGTCGACAAGGTTTGCTCGGAATTTGACGACAATTCGAAAGGTGATTGTTTAAATAGGCGCAAGATATTTAACAATTTTATGATTAATTAGTTACAACGTTCGCGATATCCGGTATCCGGAATTTGGTAGTTTAAATGGGCGCGTAAATTTTACTGTCTTCTATTTAATTGACAAAGACGATCGCAAGCTTCATGCAGTATTGCTCCATTTTTTGAACAATTTTTTCAATGTGAACTAATATGTGACTGATCTATTTTAGCATTCTTTACATTAATTTACATTAACATAAATTTGTGTTACAAAAAAAACACTTTTTTTTGCTCTTCTACCATAAGTGCAACCACATGTTTCCCGAGATTTTTTCGCGCTGAACACGATACCGTTTGAAAAATTCGCTCAGCACGTCAGGATTAAATAAATTGGAATGAAAGTTGCCAAAAATGGCGTTTTTAATCACTTTCAACATTTTCTTGCAGCAAAACGGAAACTGATTTCTAAATAACATCCTAACGACATCTAATAATTTCAAAGAACTTTGGCCACTTTCATTCCAATTTACTCAAAATTCTGACGTGCTAGGCGAATTCTTTAAACGACATCGTGCTCAGCGCGAAAAAATCTTCGGAAAACGTATAGTCGCACTTCGAAGAGAATAATTTTGCTGTAACACAATGTTTTTATAGCAACACTATATTTTTATATGTCCAAATATCACTTTTAATTTCCATTTTTTTTTCTCTATAAAGTATGGCATTATATTTATTCATTCTGATCATAGAATGTACAAATAAATTTGGCTATATATAAAGAAAGAAGAAATAAAATTTACGATAAATATCCAAAATATTTCGTATGAGAAAAAACAACTCACTATCATCATCGTCATTATCGCTTGGCTCGCCACGTATAAGATCTATTTTGCCAGCATCAATCCAGTACTGTTTTGTTATAAGAAAAGGTCCACATACCGGTCCTTCACAGCCTAAACTAACATTACAATTTGAACTAGCTTCGCATATACAGCCTAAGCAGAGATTCGATACCGTTTGTTGACCTATAACAAACAGTATAATTATTATATACGTAAAGGTTATATGTAATGTTTTATAATTAAAAGTCTTATTGTATATATATAAATGTGTGCACTCCCCAACATACACATACACACACGAACGCGCGCGTTCATTGTGTTCAGACTCTTTTAGAGATGTCAGCGCGTTGTTAAATCATTCTATCTTTGTCATTTAGTACACGTAAAACAAGAAAGAATGATGCTGACACACGCTAATATTTCTAAAAGCGCGTTTTAAATACAAGTCATAATCTAGTAGAAAACAGTACGTGGATTAAACGAACAAGCATCATTAATAATTAACCATCTAAGTTTATTAATAAAGGAATATATTATATTGCTTTGAAGACAATAACAATTGTTAAGTCTAAGGAAATAATTTCGATAAAAAGATGTTCTTCTCATGGTAATCCTTCAGTCATGCAAAGTTTATCGTAATTCTATTATTTGATTTAAATCTAAAAAAAAATGTCTAAGGTTTCGAGTTATTATATAATACTTTAATTAAAATCTTAACGAGAAATTTCTCGAAATAAGAACATATATATTAAGATTATTAGATAGTATATAATTAAGTGTCTAATTAATAGTAATAATAAACAATGATAGTGCATCCCTGATAAAAACATTTTTATAATATTTCATAATATTTAAAAAAATTTGTCATGTTTTCAAGAGTTCTGAATACAATTTATAAAGATTTCTAAAATATAGGTTTGAAATTTCTTTAAATTTTATAAATTTTCTTTGGAAGTTAGAATAAACAAATCTTAGAATAGGTATTTCAAAATTCACACATATATAAAGAATTAAAAAAAAAATTTCTTAAAAAAAAAACTTTCAATATTTCTGAAGTGTTATAATTTATAAAAAGAACTGGGAAATTTTCTAAAAAGATAAAAAATTAAAGAAAGATAATAAGAATAAATTCTGAATCTTTATATTTAAAATTTAAAAAATTTTGAAAAATTCCATGAAAAATTCAAAGAAAAATTTTTGCCAAGCATATAAAAATAAAATTCTAATTAAAATTAAATTTTTATCTTTAGCGGATTTGTTAAAATAGTGTCTTTACTTAAAAATTTTAATGATACTTAAAAATTTGAGAGGCTAAAATGCCAAAGTTTAAATTATAGAATTACAATAAAAACATAAAGTTGTTTGACATATTTCTACAATGCAATGAAATCGACATTTTCAATGTATGATATAGCTTACACACGCATATATCATATGCACGAATACTTATGTATGTATCTTATTTATCTTTTCTACATGGATGTGGTTGTTTCACAACGTCACGGTTATAAATATAACTCAAAACAGCTTGTAAAACTAAGTTATTACTACTCGTTCAGAAATGATCATAATTACTATGACGAAAACTTTTCTTTTGTTCGATTTGCTTTTTATTATACGTATTAATTTTTTGCTATTTCTAAAACGGATTTAAAATTTGTAGATATTATTCAAAGTCAAAACTATAATAGTAAAAATTTCTCCAATATAATAAATATTTAATTGAATAAATTATGTTGTGCAAAAGTTTTACTTGCAAATAATATTCATATATTTTAGAATACGCCGTATAAATATGTAGATATATATATTACATTTGTATCTATGTTTATATTAAATTAACATTAACAATATATGTATAATAATTAATTTTTTGTATTTTAATTCTATCTGTACAACATTTTTACATTCGATTTGAAATATAGAGAATATGTATTATGAGCAAATTTTACTGAAGTGATGTGCAATGGAATTCTTACATTTTCTTAGAACAGGTTTATGACGACGAGATAAACTTGATTCAGCTAACCAGTTTTAACAATCCACATTTTCAGATTCAGGTTATAACGAATCATAATAAAATTAATTTCTTTTTGTATCTTTTGGATTTTTTGTATTTTTTAATTGCTAATCTCCGTTAATTTTGCCGCTAATACCGCTAGATTTTTTATCATCACAATCAATAAAACAGAACAATTTAATTGAAAGTCTAGCTTAAAGTGTAAATATGCGTGTGATAAAACGATTATCTTATTTTCATTCCATTCACTCTAAACTATTGGTTAAAAAAAACCTTAGATTTTAAAATCATCAATTTTAAGATATTAACTGAGAAATTTTTTATGCGTATAAAGAATTATCAATTAAATAAGAGACTATTAGAAATATTCAAAGAGAGGGAAAAGGACAATTGTTTTATCATTTACGTATATTTGCTTGTATATTAAAATTGTATTAGCCAAGAATTAAGTTTTATAATTAAGTTACAGAGAAACCAATTACACTGTTCAATAAAAAAATTACTTTTTTTTAATACCATAACGGGATTAGTTATTTCCTGTAGTTTTTTGGTGCTGAATCTGAATCTGCTTGTAGAATTGCTTTATCATGTCACAATTTTGAGAAATTTGCAGATAAAGTTGCTAAAAACGGCTATAATTTTCACATTTTGTCATATTATAACTGATGCTAGAAAAGTATTCGTGCAATCAAAATTAAGAATATTGTTAGGATTTTCAATCTACAAAAGGAATTTTTTGTGTCCGTTATAATTAACAAATTATTTACTGTTAACTAAATGGCGCTAAAAAAAAACAGTACGGGAAATGACTAGTCCTTTTATGGTGTTTTTTTTGTTAAATAGTTTTACAATTCAATTAATTGATAATTAATCATTTCAGATTGCTTATAAAAAATATATAGTATTAATAACTTTTAAAACAGATACTGATTTACATTTAATAATTTTTAATACAGATTTGATTAACATTTAATATAACTTGGATATTGCTTTATAATTTTAAATAATATAATTAAATTTTCATTTCAATTAAAACTCTTTAACACTGTCAGTAGCGGATAATTAGTATAAGACAAGGAAATAAAACGAGGAAATATTATGAGAAAAGAAACATTATACGTAGAAGGAATGAAACGTAGACATAATTCGCTTTAAAGTAATCACATATGTTTTCTATAAACATGTTTCGTTATCATTTATATTTCGTTGTAAATACTGCAACTATCACATCGTCATTTTATTTTTCTAGTAATTGCTATTTTTACATACAATCTTTATCAACTCTGTATATTGTTAAAACATAACTGAAGAATACTGATTATAAAATTCATTATAATCGAGAGTAAAGTCACATTTTTAATCTACTATATCTTTTACGATATCGGTAAAGCTGCATCAATTAATTATAAGTATCTTTGTTATCGAAATTTCATAACATAGTTAGTGGATTCTAGTACATTTATAATATATTGCATGTCTCTCTTAAAGATAACAAGAAAGAAAAGAAAAAAAAATAGGCGAATTAAATATTATTTTTAATGTAACAATGTACACACACACACACACACACACACACATACACACATACGCGCTTGCACGCATGTATAATGTATGTATGTATAATATATGTATTTACAATATTATATTATTATTTCATCTATTAGTTATTATCTCCATAAAAGATTGTATTTAAATTATACATAAATGACATTTAATAGTTGTGCAGTAGTTGTATAGTAATATTTAAAATTAAATAATTAAAATTATTTTCATAAATTTAAAGAAAATTCGCGTGTTATAAATCACTTCTTTACTAATTTATCGTAAAAAAAAAACATGGAAGCTTACCGGAACTATATACGCAAAATACTATAATTATTGTCACAGCAATCCACGAGAATTTCGCAAACATCTTGGAGATATGCTGATGTGCTGTTGCTGATACACAAGAAACAACATTTATTAGCACACTGCGTTGATCGACTGGTGTGAGACGATCCGCGCTTCTCGATGATCGTTTTTTTATGACGATAATAGCCAATGCAGGCGAAAACAAGCGGTGAAGATACGTTCAGAAAGAGTGGGGAAAGGAAAAATCGTATGGAATGTTTAAAGCTAGAAGAATTTTAATGTTGTTGCATTAAAAGTAAAAGAGAAACAAAATTCACAAAAAATCTAATAAAAACTAGAAATAGCGGAAAATTAACCGTGTGACGTTTTGTTTGTATTTCGATATTAATTCAAAATTATTGACCCGATTGTCAATATTTATATCTGTTTTGGATTTTTAAATAAGATCGAATATGATATGTATATTTTTGCAAGAGAATTTTCTAAATATAAGTATCGCACAATAATGATCAATTTAAAAAGTTGCACTGTTAATTAAGTAGGAAAAGAGCAACTCTATATTAAATTTTTAATTCTTAAATTAAAAATATATTATTTGTTCGTATACGAAAATTCTAAGTTTAAGTAATATAATATATATATAATATAATAAATTAAAAAGAAGTGCCAGTGTAAAATTGCATTTAAAAATATTTATACTTTGAGGCTTCCTTCATAAATATCTAAGATAACTTTATTATTATTATAATTACACAATTATATTTTGTACATACATACAGTATGGAATAGAATCATACAATATACATGATACGGAACACAGTCGAAGACTGTATTACTCACCGGAAATATTCGTAATCTGAGAGAGGTCATGATTTCAAATGCGCAATTTTTCGAGAATAAAGTCCCATCCATCTCAGAAGGTGTATGTAGCATGGACACGCATCACAAATTGTATATCTGCGGTGCAGAAGAGTAAATGTTGCTATATAGTTTACCTCTACTTCTTCAGGGAGCGTTAGAGCACGAGGCTCGCATGTAAATCTACAGATCGTCTTCGGAATCTTACTTCGTCGTCGTTCAAGCGAATTCTATTCTAAAAATTCTTATATTTTTTGCGAAACTTTTCTAATTTATTCATAGTCCTCAGTGAACCATTATTGATAACAAAAATTTTCATTTCATTAATTTTTTTAAATAAACTTTGCTCGAATGGCTTTTTTAAGAAAAGTGAAAGGAAAAAATTTATATTATTATCATTCTTCTATTTTTATTTTATTTTTATATTATTACATTTTCAAGAAAGTTTCATCAAACTCTTTGTATGATTTTTCAGCGCATAACTCAAAATAAAATAATAATTACAATTTAATTCAAAATAAGATTCCTCTTTTCTAAAAACAAAAATAGGATGCTAAATACAAAATAAAACAAAATCTACGAAATTTCTTCGTTTACATCAAATCTAAAATTGCTCTTTGCCAAATACATGAGAATTGTAGTCGTATTTTAACAGTCTGACATCTTCAATATATTTATTCAGATCATAAATGCAAAAGAAAATGAAAATTAAAACATTAATCTATTAAATAAACCAATAATCCTAGTGTTTTCACACCATTCACTCTTTCTTTCGTACCAGTCACGTTACTGTTCTCCATTTCGTGTGCTCGTTATTCCATCTCTGCGCTCTGTTGCGTTTCAATTGGTTCATTCTTTATCTCCATAGGTTGCAATGATATTTGGCTCGCTAGAATTTCAGCTAAGATTGCTTTCGGTATTTCCACGGTCCTTAGGTCCAAGTTGTCGCTCTTAGAAATCTCAGTCATCCTGGACATTGGCTTCGTTATTTTTGACGGCAATACGGCAGCAGCCGTCCCATCTACGGAGGACGGTCGCACGCACCTCACCAAATGAATTTTCAACTCTCGGTTGAAATTTAACATACGTAAATTGTCGGATACTCTTGGGTTTGCGGCTGTTGCCGGACCATCCTCCGCTGCTCCTTCTTGCGGTGTTGCGCTTCTCTCCTTGATGAATCGCCCCTGTGCGTCCTTTGACCGCCGCCGCGCCGCCAACTGCCTTTTCGTCTTTATTGGTTCCACTGGTGCCGGCGATTTGCGTCTCTTCTTACTTAGCCGGGGCTCGTACTCCTCCGCTGAATTTGATTCTGACTCGAAAATTTCATTTTCCACGGGTTTTTCAGCCGACTGTTTAGCCACTATAATATTTGACGTGCTTGGCTCTTCTGGATCTATTTCTGCAGTTTGAATCATCGTCCGCTCGTCACGCTCGTCGAGCATTTTTGTCGCACGCGTTACCTTATTGTCGACAAAATCATACGATACGCGGTACGCGCGTTTACGTAAATCGGTCTCCGGCAATTTGTCCTCCACGGTTATTAAAACGTTCACCTCGCACGCCTCCTTTTCGCTCGCGTCACGTATAACAAAATTGTCGTCTACGCACACCCTGTGCGTCACGTACTTGGCGTAATTGTGCTCAATGTCCAGTATCCGACGGGTACGGTAGCTGTCATCCTCCTCGGCTGTTAATTGTTGTTGTTTATCTAATTGTAAGACCGGCACGCGTTTCAATAAGTCCCGCATTAATTTAATGCGTCTTGCACACGCGTCTACATATTTCGTATACCGCGCCCGTTTCTCCAATTCGCGCACGAGTCGGTCCTCCTCCGCAAGCATGTCCTCAAAGGTCGCGAACTCGCGCGAGATTTCATCAATTTCACCGTCCATTTTTCTCGCGTTGCTAACCGTCTTTGGCACTTAGGACACTGGCAAATTACCGTTACTTCGCTCGGATTTCTTTGTTATTTTTGCTCCTTTTATTTGACCTGCCGGAACACATGCCAGCTGTTCGCCGTGTAGTGTGGCGTTAGAGTAAGATGGGTGATCGTCTGCAGGAATGCTTCAAGTCCCTAAATTATTAATCTAGTGACTTTAGGAATGTCCATGTGGTGTCCTCTCTGGTGGTGTCCAGAGTTCCAATATTACTAAAATGGAGTCGCCATTTCCATATTCCACGAAAAAAGGCCGAGGTGGCCATTCACTGTTCAGGTTTCTCTATGTTTCTCTCTGACGTCACTGCTTATATTGCTACTTGCGTCTTGGATAAGCTTGTATATTTGGAATATTTGAATTCTTTGAATTGAATCGCGAACGCTGTGAAGTATCGTGGATTTGTCTGTGATGCGTACATTATCTGTTTGTATTGATCAAATCAATTAAGAAAATTGGGGGCCGCCATGTCCAAAGAAGGAAGAAGACCGTCATGCGCATGATACTTTTGTCAACACACATGTTATCCCCGTCACAGAAGAAAATATAAATAATCTAAACGAAAAATATCTCTCTAGAAAAAAAAAGGAAGAGTGAAAGGAGCAAGTGGAGGAGAGTGATATAGTCCAGATAAAAAAAGGCGTTTCGTAATTTCGTAACGGAAGACGAAAAGAGCATGTAACTATCTCCTCTGTAATTTTATTCATCTTTATTACATCTTTATTATATAGTTCAGATAAAAAAAGACATTTTATAATTTCGTAACGGAAAACGAAAAGAGCATGTAACTATATCTCCTCTGTAATTTTATTCATCTTTATTATATCTTTTTGACACCTATATATACTCAGATCTGTCAAAGACAAATTTTGCAAAGTTGTTTGCTATTAATAAATTTTATTGGCAGAATGCCAGCAGAAACACAACCGAATCTCTGTGTTAAATATGATAACAGATTGCAGAAACCGAACAGATTCTACATTTAGTAGTCATTTAACCCTTATGACTAGTGGTGACATTCACTCGAGATTCGATAAGTATTATTTGATAATTAGTTTAATTCAATATTATTCACATATTTTCTTTACATCGCATGGATGCCAAAAATCGAACTTGAAAACTACTACTTTTTCTGTGTTTCTAATCTTCATGTACTATGTTTACAAAGCGATCACCTTTTGATTACATATTTTGATATACACTGCCAGGACTGTAAATCCATAATATACGTAATGTGAACTATAGATTTTCAATACTAGCAGTATACATATGTCAGAATATGATCCTAATAAAATATGGGTAAAAAATGACCTAACAGTTTTCCGAGTTTTTTTTAGCACATTTCATTGAATGATGGATTGTATGTTTTCAACTGCTTCTTGAAGTTATGTAATGCCTCTTTCAAAAATTACATTTTTTTGAGAGTTAAATAATAAACTTAAGTTTATGTTTATTAAGATTAGTTCTTAATAATATTTAAATTTATTAAAAATTTGACAAGATTATTATGGAAATAATTACAAATTTGAGTTACTTTATGCTAAATTCCAAGGCAGGGATTAATACAATAGTATTGCACCATGTAGCCAGGCATCATTTAAAAAATATTCTATTTAAAAAAAAAAATGATTGTAGAATAACAATTCTGCTGGCAATCTGCTGTGAGATTAGACTCCACAGAATACAAGCTTAATGTAGAATTTGCAACAATATGCTGATTAATCAATTGTTAGGGTAATGTTAACATTTTATTGGATATATATGCACACAAAAGTTTCCTTAGTTTTTAGAATGAAATATACGAGTTTATTTTCTGTAATTACCTACATTTTTTTCAGATAAAAATCTGCAACGAATTTTATATTGTTTCTGATTATGCCGATTTTTCCTGCAAATTCAAAGCACTTATCTCATGATGCTCATCCGACTAATTCGTACAAGAATGATATTGTGCTAAGTTACCATGACTACTTACTCAGGGCATCGGATGTCGCATTGCTGGAAAGAAATGACTGGCTTAACGACATTATAATAGGATTCTATTTTGAATATCTGAATCAACAATGTAGGAAGGATAGTAAAAGCCGGTTACTATTTATCGGGCCTGAAGTAGCTCAGCTGTTAAAGATGCAGGATTCTTCGCAATATAATATATTTCTGGATCCTATTGAAGCTACAAATTATGACTTTGTATTCTTCCCTCTAAATGACTGTGATAGCAACGAGGCAGGTGGCTCGCATTGGAGCTTATTGATATACTCTCGGACAGAAAAGATGTGTTATCACTTTGATTCGTCAAGCGGCATTAACAGCTTCTCCGCGAAAAAGCTCGCACGGAAAGTGACAAAATATTTTCTTGACAAACAAGACAAGAAATACATGGAAATGGATTGTCCGCAACAAAATAATAGCTATGATTGTGGTTTGTACGTTTTATGTTTGGCAGATGTAATATCTAGGCATGCTATAAAAAATTTAAGAATAAGCGATTGTGATTGTAGTATCGTTCCAGAAATGGTCTCAAAAAAACGTAGCAATTTATTAAAATTAATTAACGATTTGAAAGGTACATATAATAATGCATAGCAGAAATTCTATATATTTATATTAATATAATATAATAGCAATTCTGGCTACAATGTATTAACGCAATTACTTATATATTTACATCTATAATAAATTTGATTATGTTAATGCTTTTTAATTGTTTCCATATTTTGACATAATTATATTACATTATTATTATTTAACATTAATACATTGAAAATATTTCTGATGTTTTCCTAAAAATTTACTTTTTTTTACATAAAACAAGATTGAAAGAAAATAGTTTATTTAGAGAAAAAAGTGTGACAAATTATCTATATCTTGCAAATAATTCTAGAAATATTAGGAAATCTATATAACTTATAACATGCATTACCTACAACATGATTAGTAGTTCAAATAACGATTAATGTGGGCGAATTCAGTACAAATGTGAGAAGCGTAGCATATAGCTACATAAGAACGACTTATGATTAGCGGGTGCGATCCTCATCCCGTGTATGTTTTCATTTATAAGAGATATACACGCGTTGAAGAGTTGAAGTAAGAAAAAAAGAATATGAGATGAATTGTAACCTGTTTTGGGGAAAAATAAAGCTGGTATATAGTACATGCAGTACAAATGTGAGAAGGTTCTTGTAACAATATCGCAAATCTTAAAGTTATAGAAGACTTTCATTTAAGTCGATGAGCCTAATACTAAAAAAAAATTAAATAGATTATAGTATAAGAGTAATATGCATATATGTATATTTGCTTAATAGAAAATATATAAATGAAACAAATAATTAATTATTTTCTATAGACAAACTTGATATATAGTACATTTTTAAGTTTACACAAAATCTTCAAATAAAACGATTTTATATCGGTACTCTTCAGACATTTCATGAACATCTGTTCATATCTGCGAATATGTCTGATACGAAATTGATTTGTTTTTATAGACGACTGTAGAAGATGCATGAATCACCATGTTCGGTGTAACGTCTTTCACAGATGCACAACCTAGAAG